TTGCACGGGCCAGCAAGGAAGGCAGTACCTTTTTCTCCCATTATAGTGTTAACAGGCTACGGACAGGAAAGATTAGGCCCTGTTGACACTGGATGGCTGTACAACCTGAACAATGGTAGTTACAACCCTCTAGCATGGGGTGTTCTTTTTTCCATACAATAAATAGGAATGAGTTTACAACACTGTCAGAGTATTTCAGTTGGGGGGGGAAATACTGTAATTTAATTCAATGCTGTACTGTAATTCAAGTGACCTATGATGTGGTCTGAAGTATATTTTTTCCATCCAGTGTCAATCGTGAGGTTTTTGTTCCCTTATGCTTCATCAGGGCTGCATTCCCAGCACAAGTCCAGGCATCAGACCTGGCCACACACCTAAGTTGCGCTGGCAGAAAGCCCAAGAATAGATGCAAGTACCTTATTTTCTTGCATACCACACCTCAAAATGCACCTTGTTTTGGGAAGGTAGAGTGGGGGGGAATGAATTTTTCCAGTCATGGCAGACTGCTGACTGCAGGGGACCCTGACTGCAGTGGCTGTGAGAGTTAACATTGCCATATGAGGAGAGGCTGGGGGATCTCAGACTATTCAGCCTAAAGAAAAGGCGGCTGAGAGGAGACCTGATTGCAGCTTACCACTATATCAGACGCGTACATCAGGGACTCGGGGAACAACTGTTTACCAGGGTGCCCTGGGGGAAAACTAGAAACAACAGCCAAACTCCTGGAAGACAGTTTCAGGCTGAACATTAGGAAAAACTTCACAACCAAGGTGTCCAGATTATGGAACAAGCTCCCCCCAGAGGTGGTGCAATCATCTACCCTAGAGGTCTCAAGAGAAGACTGGACGGTCACCTGGCTTGGGTCGTCTGACCCCAGATGTCTTTCCTGCTCATGCAGGGGGATGGACCCGATGATCCTTCGGGGTCCCTTCCAGCCCTATGATCGTAGCTTGGACCTGAAGGGTGAACTTTGCCCCTTCCCCAAGGCTGGCAGCAGAAGCATCGCAGCCATCTGGCAGCAGCGTTTCTGCTTCTGTTCCAGCAAAGGAAAGTTGGTGTCTCCATTTAAGACAGGCACCCCAATTTTAAGAGGCCTGGTTTTTACTTCTGCCAGTATAGCTTATTTGGCTTGAGTACTGGGTTTTACAATAGAGGCATAAAGTGCACTTTTACTAGCTTAGTGCCATACCGACTGCACTTCACTGGGGAAGTGTGCTAACATTCTTAGATCAGCTCAGGGTTTCCACAGTAAACCCAGCTCTAGCCTTATTGTAGCTTCTGTACAAGTTTTCAGGAATTGGTACAGTAATTGGTCCATGGTGGTTAATATTTAGTGACATTCAGATCAAAAATGCTGTTGGCTGTACTAATATTTCAGGCTGCAGTGAGAAAAATGAAAACTCTTGTTTGCGGCAGATGGGCCATCTTAGTAAAACAACAACAAAGACCTTTTGGCTACAATGCTTGCGATTCACAGACAATAAACTGCTTTGGACTAGATTTTATTTTCCCCTTCAAAGCTGGAAAAAAAGTGAAAAAGTGATTGCATCTCTAAAGAAAGCAATGCAAAGGGTTCTTACTACAGTGACTAGGGTTTATTACTAGGGCTGCTTCCCTCCCAAGCTTTGTGTTGACCGACATTAAATTTCATGGCTCGATTGTTGGGGTCTGACCCAATTGTGCATCCTACCATGCCACATGCATGGCAGGACATGCGATTTTTTTTTTTTTTTTT